CGCCACCTATCAAAAATATCGCCTCAACTTCTACATCCTCAGCCTGCTGTTTCACCCTGAGCAGGAGGACTGGATCCTTGCCTATGGCCATGACCAGAAGGTGCAGAATCATTTCAGCTAAATCATTCCTGAAAATATAGCAAAGAGCATCTAATTATGGCACAAAGCTTTCAGCAAGGCACCGTTCATGCAGTTCTCTAATTATCAAGCTGTTTTATTGCCAAATATAACCAAAGCCAAAGGAAAAACAAATTCATAGTATTTGCATTCTTGATAAAGAACATTCTAGGCACAAGCTGCAAAGCAAGACGTAACAATAATGAAAGTATGAGTGCAAATGGATGCTAATCTGTATTTAGGCTTGAAATATGTCCTTAGAAGGCAATTATCAATGCAAGAGGAAATACGTCTTAAAGAGACAATTTCAGTGAACTTAAATTTGGCAATTAAGACAATTTATGGATCCCCAGTCGCAAGGAATTATCATTACTTATATGGTTTTGAGCTCATGGTTTAGGGCTAATAAATTATGATTTTTTTTTTATTCTTCTGAAAAGATTGTTTAAGCATCAGATATAATCATATCAAAAGATAATTTAACTAGTCAAGATTTGTTTTTATATTTATTTCTTTATTTTCCTGATGAAGCTGATGAATCATTTTAATTCCTTCCCTCTTTAATTTTGGATTAGATCCATTCCTGAATTGATTTGATTGTTTTTCTACTCTTTGATGTGGATTTAAATTATATAACACATATTCAAAAAATAAGATTTTCTTTTCAAGCATCTAAAAAACAAGTACAAATGCAAACAACAAAACTTTTCAGAGTGACATGCAGTATGTCAAATAATGACAGTTTCTAGTCTCAAGGGATGGTGTTAAACAGCATTGACTTCAATTTTGACAAATCAACATTGATTTCATCCTTGAAGGAGGGCCATTGACAATGAATTACAATTAAATGAACATAATCAAAAAAAATTATCAGCCAATTGACGGCTAATAGTTGACATTTTGCTAAATATGCATTAGCAAACGGCTAGCCACGGCTGAAAGCCGCAAAAGCAAACAGCATAAAAAGAAAACAATCACTAGTGTAATTAAACCCTATCCAAATCTATGCCACAAATAAATGCATAATTTATTAGTGTTGACAGTTTTGCTGCTGTGGTGTCATTGGCAAGGTTCCTAAATTTGTTGAGGTTTTTTATGATGACAGTAAACAGAGGGAATGAGCTAAAATGAAAAGCTCAGTAACCGTCAACACTTTTGTGCCTCTCAGCTGAAAAAAAACCCCAAAAACACACAGCTTAAAACAAGACAATGCTGGTGTTAAACCAACTGAGCGGCAATTTGGCCAGTGTGGGAGACCAGTTTGAACCAGCTAAGACCAGTTTAGGTCTCTTTAAGAAGTTGTTTTCAGCAGAGCTCTACTCTTCACTTCTGATGTGGTTTAGTTTGATCCAGTTTGATTTGTTCTGTTGGTTTCCCATAAGTCTGTTTCTAAATATGACTGAGCTCCATCCACCCACAGTCAGGATGTTATATTGGATATGAGATTGGGATCCCAGCCCCCCCCCACTGTTTTAGAAATACCTCGCAAATCCTGGCAAAAATATGCTGCTTTGTACAAGGCAAGTGAAGTTTCACACCTAGGGAAAACTTTTGCTTAACACTTTAACAAATGCCACATTTCATTCCAAAGTGCTGTAAGTACCAGTGTGACATATTTATGTTTGCAATTTATATAAAATGATTTCTCCCAAAGAACTGTGGACATAAATAGGATGCTTACTGCCATACTGAGAAACATATACGCGAATTATGACCCATTTAGTAAATTTAAGATTTCAGTGTTTGTTCTCTCACTGATTGCCAATTTTCCACTGCAATTATACTAATTTTGAAATGATAATTTTAAGATTTTATTGTATTCTGTGTTTTATTGGAAAGTCATTCATAATTTCATTTGCTCGGTTCCAAAACCTAGTTAGCTATCTATGTAGGTAGCATTTTAAGTCTTCTTAGGCACGCTTCTGATGCAAATTATGTTCCCAATGTGTGACGGCTTCTAAGATACCTTGTTTTTTGCTCAAATTTAGGGCAGCATCACATGTACCCAACTAAAATAAAATCTATTCAAAAGTTTGGAGTTTGTAAGAGTTATAGGAAATATATTAGGAATATATATTAGAAAATATTATGACAATTATTTGCAATAAAATAGTCAAATCACATAAAAAATGCCATTTTTTAGCAAGTGTTTCTTAAACACAGTTGGTTATGTCTTAAATGAATGTAAATAGTTGGGAGAAAATCATATATGCATCAGTATATTAGATCCGTGCATTAGGTCTTAGAGTGACAGCAGCCTACTAATTCTGCTGCTGTCTGTGGAATTGATGTTAACCAAAGAAGAAAAGAAAAACAGAAAATCTCTCACTGCACTTGAATGAATAACTTTTGCATCTTTAATACAAATTAATGTTCAATAATACAAGTGTGTGAAGATTGTGCAGTGTTTTTTTTTTTTTTTTTACATTTGATTATTCGCAGATAGGGAGAACATAAACATTTTACACCATATAGGATTTTTATGGATTTTTGATTCCAGTCTTGGAAGGATAGATTTATAAATAAAGAGAGCAATATGTGAATTGCTTGATAATTTCAGTTATTTTTATGACAAATATCTGTGTTAAAACATGGTCAGTTCCTAAACTTGAGGTGACATATATAGAGAGAATATATAGGATTGTATTGTTTTCTTCATAACTGATTTTGAATGTGGAAGAGCTGGAAGACATGCGAACATGCGCAAATTTTAGTACTCATAAAAAATAAAAAAAAATCCCATGTTTGGCATATTTGTAATAGGCTAAAATCAAAATGTAAAAAAATGCTATTTGTGTGGTGCATAGAGTTGCTGTAGAACATTTAGAAATTAGGTTTCATAGTGGTTCATAATTTCATAATGTGGCCTTTGAAGAAAGACAGCTGCCTAGGCAGTGAGGCAGTTCACTAGTTCATTGAACAGAGCTATTGATAAGAATCGAGTAAACTAAACGTACCTAAGCAATGCCAATAGGCAGATGCGCAATTACATTATAGCAGCATATTACATCAGAAGAGACAGGAATCTTCATAGTATCCCTTTGCTAACACAATTTTTCGTCTTTAGCTCTACAGCTCTGTTGAGTTCGGCCGTCGATGGCAGCTCGTTCACGAGCGGGTGGCGCCCAATCGATTCTACTGGTAAGCTCTCTGTGTGATTTATTCTGCTGCATGTGGAACATCAATCATTTGAGCTCCTGCATTCTGTGCCTGATAAAAGAATAAACCAAAGAACACGGACTGTTGTTCAATCCTGATGTGATCTTCCCCACTGTGTTCCACCACAAACGCTACCTCGAGGTTTACGTCCAAAGCTTAGAAACTCTTTAATGAATGTTGTCATTAGACCTTGTTACAGAGTCGGAGTCTGCATTTGCAATGTTGCAAATGATTTAGTCATTAAGAAAGCTTATTCAACTTGATCAGGATGGCTAATAGGTGTCTAGACTGTGGTGATTAGAGACCTGTTGAGAAATAAATTCTAAATTCGATTCGATTTTATGTTTATCCCTGGTCTCAAGTGGACAAGCTGGAATGAACTGAAATGTATTTTGGGCATGGATCAATTGAGTTTTTTTTATTTTTTATTTTTTTTTATAAAGAATTGTGAACATATATTCCACTGAATCTTTGGTATGTGGGACAAAAAGTGATGACAGAAGTAAAAAAAAAAAAGTTAATGCACAAAGGAAATCATATTCCAAAACAAAGTCATGTTAAATATGTTTTAAGACATCTGGCATTGGCATTGATTAATTAACTGAAACTGCAGGATGGTTGTTTAAAACTGATTTTCATCTATTGAATTGTCACCATAGTCAGACAGAAAATCTTTCTTTTTTTTTTTTTTACTTAACAAAATAACTATATTTTCATATTACACGTGTACTGTATTAAATGTAGTAGCCTTTTCCTCTGCTGTTGCTAACTAGGACCATTTCATATATATATTGTATATGAAGTATATTGAGTTATATACTGAATGGTCGAATGGGTGAATTCTATTAAAAAGGTAAATGAATGCTACATTTGTGTTAAGAAACAATGTCACCTTACATTCAATTTGTGGTAATCACAGTACAATTTAAAGTCTCAACTGGTTGGTCAGTTTTTTTCGTTGATCATGTCTGTCTTTTTCCATCCAAATTCTAGTCATTTAGTACCAGGATTTTGTTTTTTGAGGACATGTGAGCTTTTTGCATAAGCACCGTCAAAGTACGACAGAGCGAAGACATCAGAGAGTCAGCCTGGAGTACCGTTATTTTTAGGCTGGTAATGATCTATCCTCACAAGTTCCCATCTATGAACTCTCACATATGGAGTCTTATTATCTGAAGTGAGATGAGACATATAACCCTTAAAAATGTGTAGCTATTGACTATGTGAAATTAGATTGTCCCTTTTGATGAGATATGCCGCCATAGTTGCAGCCAGTATATGAGATGATTGAAGAAATGGAACTTTGAATGGATGAAATGGACTTTTGTATCTGTCAGCGCTTCAAAAGCAACTCAGATCTGATGCGGCTCGTTTCTGGCCTAATACCTGCACAGATTTAAAGTCTTGGTGGAACTGAATGGGTCAGAACTCCTTTACCTTTACAACTGATCTGAAATCGAAACCTAGTCAATTTTCTTTGAAATTGAACTGTTCTTGTGAGTAAGGGAGTAAGTAATAATCTTGGGTGTGAATCGAGTAAAACTAAATTAGCGCTGATATACATTATATGCCAGCATTGACTGGTTATCATAATGCACTTCTCGTTTGCTATGGGTTAACTATACCAGGAAAATAATGTTATCTTTAGTAAATAAGTGATATAATAAGCCTAAATTAAATATAAAGGGAGAGTGTTTGTACTGAAAAAGAATGACGATCAATTTAAACGCACGACGCACGATTAGAGTTCAACAGTTGGGTTCCCAAAAGTTAAAATCGCATTTATTTGCGCCATACATGAATTGACTGTGAATGATAACTTACAAACCTTTACAGACAGACCTGAGCTACTAAATATAATCAACATATTTAAATCAGTAGTTTTATATTTCTCCATTATGTTTTATTCGATTATGTCATTTACAATGTGTCATGGCCTTCATTAAAGCCGTCAAGTACACAGTCTTGTACCCTTGTCTTTTTGTCAAGTTTTCAAATAAGTTTTTGCTTCAAATCAGCGTTTTTAATGTTATGATTCTCCTCATAGCTGGTTGGTTTGGTTCATGACTTTTAAAAAATCTTTATGGGAAAAATGAATGAAAAAAAATACTTCTGCAACCAAGGCTACTGATAAAGTGGGCCGGCACTGTAGAACTTTATTAAACAGCTTTTTTAAATACTTGCTTCTGATTGGTCAATTGTGCCATAGATTGCTATCATACCTCTTATATAACACCACAGACGCATTATCTCGTTTCATACAAACACAAGTGGTGCCAGTATGTGTCTTAGTTATTTATTGTAATGCAAATGACCTCAGAAGAGTTCAGTATTAATATTACTGTAATATCTCGGGTGATTGTTTGTACATTGTAATGGTCCATTTTTCTTAGCGGAAGCTATACAGCTATGATTATAAAATCAATATCATGTCCGTCCATGTATTTATTTATTTGAGTAGCTGTGTAATAAGTGGGTTTTTATACAGTCAGCTCACATTAATTATCATTTTTGCTAAATAAACCTCTTCACTATGTGGATTGCAGGTCAAACTCAAAATAAAGTGTGCGAAAGAGGTGTAACTGTTTATTGAATTCACCGCTCTGCCTTTAAAATATTAAGGCTGATCCCAGAGCACACCAAGGGATGCTATATTTGGGAAAGCGTCAATACTTCCAATAAGTGTCATGATAAAGTCTTGAGATAGTCTGCTTCTACCTTTGTGTGTTCCTCTCTGGAGCAGCTCTCTCTGATTTTTCAGTCTCGAATAAATATTTCATGCTACAATGATTTTTTTTCCACACTAAAAAGAGCGAGAGAGCTGTGTGCGCTGCCTGTGGGTGTTCTTGGGAAGCAAATGAGAAGGGCTTACTTTTAATGATGTCAGGATATGCTCCTTGCTTCTGTCAGAAAGCACAGATAGATGGAGATGGAAATGGAGACTTAACAGGATAGTGTGTTCTGATGGTACTTTCTCGACTTAACCCGCATTGCTCCTTTGGGAGGCTAACATGGATCTTTTAGCCGACACAAAAAAAGACAATGCCCTTATTTTGACCCATCTGTTGTTGTGAGGAAACACAAAGGATTTTCGTTTTCCAAAGCTCATTTTATAAAACACTGTTTTTTACTTCCTTTGGGCTCTCCAGGTCTAAACTGGGCCTTGATAAAGAGCCGGGCCTGATTCACCTTGAGACCAGCATCTCAGAAACCCGTAAGTCTGAATGGCATCCCTGGACGTGCTTTGATTACATTTCAAGAAGCAATAATTCAAACATGGCACAAGGCGACACTTAGAGGGTTCAAAACAGGCTTCACATTAAAATTCAAAACGGACAGTTCTGCACCAGCAAATCCATTTTTCCATATTTGTCATCAGTAATTAACATGAAGAAACACACTGCACAAATTGAGTTTGTCTATTCTTTGTCTATTCTTTGTTGAACCTATATTTCTAATGATTGACAGAAGCTACATGTGTCAGTTCTACTGTAGAGTAGACGTGGTCCCTCAAAAAGGTTTTTTTAGACTGTTTGAAGTTAATATACAAGGACAATTCGGGAGGCTGGGTGCAATTGTAACTTTTTTTTTAATTTACACGCTACTAGAGATTTTCCTCTCATGGTAAAAGTAAAATTTATGTGTGTTGATAGTAACAGTACCATAAATCAACCTATATTGAGAAACATTAGATGGCAATTGTGGTTAGGTAGTGAATAATAAAAGTTTTAACTCAGAAATTGCTAGCAAATTTCACCAAAAATGACTAATTAATCGCAAGTAACACATTGAATTAAATCTGAAATGTTGAAGGTGAAAGACTAAAGTAGCATTTTTGTTTTATTTGCAACGTTTAAAAATCTTTGGGCAGCTGTAACATGTAAATACTATAGGAGAAACCCTTAAAGTAATTAAGTTATCAATATCAATATTACTATTATCTCTCTTCAGTCTGACTGTCTATCTGGAAATCCAATATGTCGTTTGTCTTGTTGTTGCTGCAGAGGCTCTTTATGTCACATGCAAGCTTCAGAACTGCACAGAAGCCAACAAGGGCAAACCTTTTCCTGGATATATTGACCCCAACTCCCTGGTGGTCCAAGATGAGTATGTGTTTGTTCAGGTGAGTTATTTATAGAGGGGAAACCTTTGACTAGTATGGCTATAATCATTATTTTTTCTTATGATGTTGCACTGATATTTTACATTCTTGTATCAATATTCAAGCATTTTCCACAGCTCAGTTATACTTGAATTTATTATACCTAGTTTATCCTTGAGTTTTAATTTAAGCGCAAACATGGTATCTTTTTTATATTATTTTAGTCAAGTACCTTCATTAAATTATTCAGTTATGTATGCACTTTTCAAAATGATTTAATGGGAAGGCTGTTCTCTTTTAAAAAACACACAACCAACAAGTTTATTTAAAAAAATGTCTGGAATTCACTACACAACTTTTTTTCCCCCAGATTTTTGCATCGATTTACAGTCTGTAGAAGTTGCTTGTTGCCAAAAGTCAGATCCAGTCTACAGATTTGAGTTGACAGATTTCATAGAAAATCGATTCCATTTTTTTTAAACTTCAGACTATTATTACAACTGATTTTAGACCACATATTTATTTTCATCTGTCACATGCCTTCTACCAACAAGGCACATGCTTCTTAATGAGTTTGTTGTGTTCAGAACAACATGAAAATTTGTTAGTGTGTGATCCTCAGTCGTTTAGTGTATGATAGCCATTTTCCCCTCTGTAACTTTTTACGAAGTCGGCAAGTGTATGATGCCTAGTGTTTTAAAATCTGTTCTGATTTGAACAGTTATGTAGTATATTCCAGACTTAAATTTCCAGTCCGAAATTTTAGCACTTTAAAAAATAAATACGACCTCACGGTGTGTCAATCACGTTGATACACTGCCTCCGAAACTTTCGTCTGTCATAAAAAAATTGGACCAAGTTCGATTTTCTGCGTTTTCATATCTGTAGCAAGCATTTTGATGGGAAAGGAAATGAATACACAAAAAAAAAAAAAAAATGCATGCAAAAATTTCGGACTCAGTGTGCAAGGACCTTTAAGTTCAAACTCTTTTATAGTGTAGTCCAGGTGTGCTGTCTGAGACACATCTGGATGGATGCAATGCTGATGCATTACTTTTTTAGACACTTTTGAATATTGCAGACCCTCTTTACTCCCATATTAAGCACTTAATCTTAATCCCAGGTGTAAACAGGGTCTATGAGGTGCCATAATTAAAGCACAGATATAAACTAATCCTCCAGATCCAGTCTGTGTCATGCATTTGGCATAGTTTCAACTGCGATTCAATTATGATAACGTGATGATAACGCACCAATCATATCGCAATGCATAATGCGAACCCTAATATGTGACCAATATCCCGGTAGAACTCAAAATGTTAACTTTTTCTAAAGTGTCTTTGTCCTGTCTATTTGTGATCCCTCCATTACCCAAGGTGTCAACCGGCGGTCGGCCAATCTACTACGTGTCATCCAGGCGAGATGTGTTTACACCCATGAAGCTTCCCAAATACACCCTTCCAAAGGTAGGGTAGCTCATTCAGACTTGCTCGACACGAAGTCAGAATCTGCTACGCTGTGACAGAGTAAACAGACATTGCTATTTCAGACCCAGATCATCATGTCCCTCAATGTTAGCCTTTGAAGCTTCAAACCTTTACAAAATCCTTTACAAAATCTGGCAGGCTCTTGCTTCTGAGTGAGTGAATTCGGGGACGCAGATGCTACCGCGGTCCCTCGCCTCTCAGGATGCTGTATTATTATTCAAAGATTAAAATCTGCTGCGCTCACATGACAATTAAACATGTTTTATTCAATCAAGCTCTCGGCGCTCCTTTAAGCACACACCCAGCAACCCTTGCACGGTCTGGGGTAGATGAAATTCGCAAACTGCCAGCATGTGGTTTTGTTGCATTTGCCCAACTGACAAGCTCAATTTAAGCCTAATAAGAATATTTGTCGTACGCCAGAGCTGTGAGCAAAACAAGGCAGGTGAGAGAAGGGTCTGATACTGATTATTAATCGGATTCAGCTCAGTGGGGTGAAACCGCCACTGCTCTCCAGCTGTCCCCATCCATCCCGGTAACAACATTCATATTCAATCTCGCTTGATTAGAGGCAAAAATCACATTAAAGGTTAAAGTCGTCCTCCTCTGATATATGCAAATGAGAAGGGTAAAGGTGTTTTGATGCTTGAATATTAAAAGGCACTTAAGTTGTTTGGAGTTCGGCCTACTTTTTCTTTTTGATGATGGAAAAGACTGAATAGAGTAGTTAAATCATTTGAATGGCTCAGTTATGAACCGCACAGGAAAATGCAGTCGGCTCATCAAGAGAATAAAAGGCAATTGAAGTTTAATGACTTCAGTGGCAGTTTTATTGACAAAATGCACATTGTATGAATAATAAATACAGATATAGACAGCTAGATAAAGGGAAATTCTTGTACAACAGCAGTGACAATATCATATATATATATATATATATATATATATATATGTACACACACACGCAATATATTACACAATATTACTGTTTTTGGATTAAATAAATGTGGCCTTATTGAGTATAAGATATATATAACAAGGCCACATTTATTTCATCCAAAAAATGGATGACTGTAAAATGACTGTTTTCTATTTGAATATAGTTTAAAATGTAATTTATTTCAGTGACGCAAAGCTGCATTTTCAGCATCATTACATCTTCAGTGTCACATGATCCTTCAGAATTCATTCTAATATGCTGATTTGGAGCTCAGAGGCATTTCTTATGTCTTTTTTTGCATTATTATCAAATAATGTCTAATACAAAACTGAAGTCATACAGCTATACTGGGCCGCACCAGTCAACCTAGCTCATCAATTATAACCCACTATTATAAAGCGTTCCTTGTCAGTTTTATAGACTTCTTTATTGACATGTTTATACCAACATTTGGATAATGCCGGAGGCAGAATATTCTTTTGTCAAATAAATCACAGAGATCTGTCTTATGAAATGTCTTTTCTTTTTTTCCCCAGGATCTGCATGTGATCAGTACAGATGAGAACCGGGTCGTGGCGGCAGTTCAAGAGTGGAACCAGAATGACACTTGCAACCTGTACGTGTCAGAGGCCGGAGGCATTTACTACACGCTGGCTTTGGAGAATGTCATGAGCAGTATGGGATCAGAGGGAAATGTCATGATAGATCTATATGAGGTACCTCTCTCTAAAACACAACAGTTTCATTTATTTTCCACACTGTACAGATGTGTGCTGATTCAATATCACTGCTTAATGTTCGCATTTCTCTGGATATTAAAAGCATGATCAAATTGAATGCACTAATTAATGCTAATTGGGTGTAGTGCTAAATGATTTAATAGCAGTGCTAATTAATTAAGGTATTCATTACATGACTATCAGTGGATTATCTAAACAAGGAGCAGTTAGGAACCCAGAATACTCTCTTTGCATCTAAATCTATCGCTAGAAGGGGAAACCATGGACACAGTGTCAAATATGATAACAGATTTTGTGCCATGCAACATCTGTTTTTTAAGTATTTTCAATTAATATATTATTATGTTAGATACTAGATAGATAGATAGATAGATGATAGGTAGATAGAATATGTGATGTGATGTGATGTGATGTGATGCTGAAGACTGTAGACAATTAATGACTACTGAAAATTCATTTTTGTCAACACAGGGAAAAATAAATTAAAATGTCATAATATGTGTGTGTGTGTGTGTGTGTGTGTGTGTGTGTGTGTGTGTGTGTGTTCTGTTAAGACTACAAACAACTAAACAACTGGATTTGAACATAAAAACTATTTTGCAGCCTGTCTGAACAAAACTGTTTCCTATCCCTGATGTACTATTGACGTTTTCATCATTTAACTCTGATCAATGTCTTTCCAAATACCTGTATGCGACAAGATACCTTACAATCTGAGAGCAGGCAGGGCTTTGGAGTGCTTTTAGTTCCCAAGTTTGTATAGCTCTTAAATTGGTCTGATAGCTCTGCCCGTGTACAAAGGCTGGACTGAAGCCAGCGATTAGGGTTTGGGTGAAGACAACTCGTCTCTTGAAGAATACCCCAGATCTCTATTCATACACCTCTGGATGAAACAGCGCATGCAGCCGCGCATTGCAACAGAGGCCAGCAGGTGTCAAGCTATCTCCTGATCAAATAATTAAACTGTTGATGATAGCAACCCCCATAAAATCACATTTGGCCCTCGGATAGGCTGAAGAGTCTGGTGACTTGATTGAGGTCGCCACCTCCGTGTAACATATGCTAAAATCTCAGCCGACGGCTAGATTGAAATATTCGTCAATTATTTAATAGTCAGTGCCCTTCGAGGCCCATCCCGGGCTGCCTCTCCTCCTCTCTAGTGCTTCCTGGCCCTGAAGAGATGTCACTTCTGTTCAGGACGGACATGGATTACCTTCTCATTCCCTTACATACTCCCATTCCACTCCAATAGATAGATCTTACCAGGAACTGCTATATGTACGGAGCTTTTTAGAAGTTCACTTAGCTGGTTTGTGCCACAGGGACACAAGGTAACAAATGCATCACAGGCTGTTTTTTTTTTTTTTCTATAGGAGGAAATGGTGTAACTTTAGGGATATGATTACTAGTGATTTATCTCTTCCTCATTATCTTTCTTTGTTTATGTTCCCATCCCTAGGTGGCAGGAATAAAAGGTATGTTCTTGGCTAATAAGAAGCTAAATAATGAGGTGAAGACATACATAACCTATAACAAAGGTCGTGACTGGAGGCTCCTGCAGGCTCCCTCAGCTGATCTCAGAGGAAACCGAATCCATTGCATGTTGGTGAGTGGACTTGTGGGAAAGAAAAAAGACAACAGTGTCAATGAAGAGTATAGATGAAATATGATGAGGAAGGAAAAAAAAGAAGAAAAATCAAGATAAATAACCTATCATTTATGAACACCATGTTTTATTGAGTGTCATTTCCAATCAAGCTGTAATTGTGTTAAATGATGTAAAAGGTATGAACTTTTTATTTAATTCAATACATAAAATCTTAGCTTTGAAATTAACCTTAGCAAGAGAAATTAGTCTGACATTTAATTCCAAAATGTTTTTTTATATTTTGTTAAAATGATATCATTTACATCATTGAATGCTATTAAACACAATATATACTTTGATGTTCTTTTTTGTAATTAAAACTATTATTATTATTTTTTCATTAATTCAAGTAAAATATAAAATATTAAGCTTTTTTTGGCTTGGAAACTAACTGAAATTAAGTTTAAGTTGAGGTACAAAATTACTGAAATCATTAATTGAAGCTAAATACAAATGTCTACAAAAAAGCTAATGAAAATCATAATAGCACATAACAAAATTACTAATTAAAAATAAAAATAAAAAGCTTGTTTAAAATATGTGATTCTGGACCATGGGTGCAGCAGGCGCAATGATATTACGCAGCGCCTGAAAATATTCCCAGCTAGGTAACTTCCACTAAGCCTATTTTCAGGCGCTATGTAATATTATTGCGCCTGCTGCACCCATGGTACGGCAGCAAAGTTCCTTGATTATTACACCGGAATGAGAGTATGGTTCCTGGCCATATCGGTCTAGAAAATCGCAACTTTTCATTTTCCGTCGTCTTAGTACACGATGTAACTACAGAAGAGTCAAGTTTTAAATAGGAAAATATAGAAACTCTTTGGTCATTTTTGAGTGAGATGCTAACGGTCTAATCAGATTCAATGATCTATGCTTAGCTAAGCTAAAAGTGCTACCGCCAGACCCGGAGATCGGCTGAATGGATTCGAAAACGGTAAAACTCAACTGTTTAACTCTAGGCGAGTTGGAAAATGAGCCATTTTCAAAAATAGTGGAGTGTTCCTTTAAGACTGGTTTTGTGCTCCAGGGTCACATATCAATAAATACTATAACAATAATGTATAACTAGTACTAAAATAACACTGTTTGAGATGCATTGGAAATGTTCCTGTGATGTTCACTGTTGGACATGAAATTAAACTAGTAAAGATATGAAAACTTTGTTTTGAGAGCGTCTATTTTAGAAAAAAAAGAGTCAAACATGTTATTGAAGAAACACTCCGTTACATATGGTCATGCTTGATGATATTTTAAACAATTTTGCACAATAGCACCATTATAATAATAAAAGTAATAAGTCGTAATATGCCAACAGAATGCACATTCCTGTAGACACCGGTGTTTGGATGAGGTCTACGTGATCAGTGCTGCTTTTCAAATGACAAGACGTATATTTCATTCCGTGGAGATATTATCCATCCCCAGTGAATGGCCTCCGCAACCCCCCCAAAATGCAAACAAAAACAATTACCCTTTGATAAACTAATTAATGGTCCCACTGTTGGCCTTGCCTTCACCATCCATTACAGAGCTATTTGTTAGAAAATGTCAAAGTTTTAATAAACCCCTAAACAACCCTTGCAACATGTGCTTACCATTGGCATTTCCAGACTTATAATGAGAATTGTGTCACTAAAGGTTATTCCAATCAAAATTAATGTTGGGAGGGAAAAAAGTCACGAGTCTTTGCTGTTATGGGATTTTGTAAATGGGATTTTATTCGAGCCCAATCACAATGACAGTTTAGTGGAGGCCACACACTGGGGGTCACACCGATGTTGAGACCCTGCTTGATCGAGATGATTGTTTGTGTTGCTTCTAGCCGTACTGTTCTCTGCATCTTCACCTGCACGTATCTGCAAACCCATACACATCCGGAAACATAGCCAGCAGAGAGTCGGCCCCTGGAATCATAGTAGCGTCAGGTGAGTTTGGGTAAAAGGACTGACGCTGATAACAATATTCTGCACATACAATGCAGATCTTATTTGTATTCATACATAAAGTGCAAATATGCTCTACTGTTCAAAATTTTAGGGGTATGCTGGTGCAAAAAAAAAAAACTATAGTGTGAATTATTAATTTATAAGAATATTAATACATTTTAAAATGTAATTTATTCCGGTGATGCAAAGTTAAATGTTTAGCAGCCATTACTCAGTCTTCAGTGACCCATATTAATATGGGTCAACTTGTCTGCGCCGGTAGCCTCGTGGTTAGTGCATCGACATATAGCGCAACTGTGCTCACAGCGACCCGAGTTTGAATCCCACCTTGAGGTCCTTTGCTGATCCTGCTCCCCCCTCTCCACCGCAGTACTTTCTTGTCATCTCTCCACTGTACTTTCAAAATAAAAGGCACAAAAAGCCCATAAATATTATATATATATATATATATATACATACACAGAAAAAAAACAGTAATATTGCAAAATGTTATTACAATATAAAATAATGGTTTCTATTTTTAATATCCTTTAAAATATAACGTATTCAGGAAGGATGTGTTTAATTGATAAGAAGTGATAGCAAAGATCTATGTTGTTAGAAAAGATTTCTATTTTGAATAAATGCTGTTCTTTTTAACTATTTCAAAGAATTCTGAAAAAGTATCGGTTTCCAAAAAAATATTTGGCAGCACAACTGTTGCCAACATAATTCCTAAGCAATTCTATTAAACAGCATTTATTAGAAAGCTTTTGTAAATAAATAAATACATTCTGACAAAAATCTTGTTATAAAATAAAAATTGTATTACTGTTATTCATGTGAAAACAGTCGTGCTGTTGTTCTAATAAACAGCATTTAACTTTCTCAAATAAAAAAAATTAATTGATTGATTGATCGATTGATCGATCAATCAAGTATTCATTTCTGACAAAAATCTTCTGTTATAAATAAAAAAATACATCTAAAATAATCTTATAAATCTAATATGCTCAAGATTTTTTTTTTATTATTATTGTCGTTAAGCATTTTTTTGTGGAAAATGTGATAAAACATTTTTTATAAAATATATATTAATAATAATAATACAAGTATTAATTTCTTACAATAAATAAATAAATAAAATCTGACTGTACCCCCAAACCCATTGTTTGTTTTTTCATGTATATTTGTTTACCATAAAAGTACAGTATTATCTGAAACAAATACTTACATATGTACAAATTTTGTCAAATTTAATAGTATTAATTCTGCATACATATTTCCCTCATGTTGTTTCATTAACAATACCTGTAGTAATTATATAAAACTCTGGTTACTTTACTTTCTTAATTTGGAACTGCTTTATAAAAATGTGCCTGAAATGTATCATTGCAATTTTGGATCCTCCGTTAATCTTTAAAGAAGCATTTCAAAGTTGAAGACACATATTTAGAAAAAGATTAATAAAACTGAATACTCAAGGATTATTTGCTTTGGTTACAGACAGGTAGAAAAATTGTCTAGATGACAGGTACTGGAAGAAGAAAATACTTTTTAAAGTGTGTAGTTCTTGTATTCTTCCTTAAATCCCTGACATCAGTTCGTTTTTTGTCCTGGAACTCCAAAGCGAAGCATATTTAAATTCCTTTCATCTTGAGCGCTTATGACACTGTTATTGTTGAAGACATTCATTTTGCGCTCGTGGAGCGCAGGCATCTGTATATGGACTATAAACAAGATTAGTGTCGTGCTAGCATAAACAAATGGAAATGCTAAGTGCTACTCTTGAGATTAGCGGCAGAGAGTCTTTAGAGCGTTCTTATTATTCTCTCTCCATCATCTTCTGTTTTCACAACCGACTGACTCTTCCACCACTTCAAACTTCAAATGTTTATTTTATAAGATTGAAAGCGCTTGTGACTTTTTCATTTTAATACTCAAGGATTATTTGTACTTTTGCTTTGGTTACAGACAGGTAGAAAAATTGTCTAGATGACAGGTACTGGAAGAAGAAAATACTTTTTAAAGTGTGTAGTTCTTGTATTCTTCCTTAAATCCCTGACATCAGTTCGTTTTTTGTCCTGGAACTCCAAAGCGAAGCATATTTAAATTCCTTTCATCTTGAGCGCTTATGACACTGTTATTGTTGAAGACATTCATTTTGCGCTCGTGGAGCGCAGGCATCTGTATATGGACTATAAACAAGATTAGTGTCGTGCTAGCATAAACAAATGGAAATGCTAAGTGCTACTCTTGAGATTAGCGGCAGAGAGTCTTTAGAGCGTTCTTATTATTCTCTCTCCATCATCTTCTGTTTTCACAACCGACTGACTCTTCCACCACTTCAAACTTCAAATGTTTATTTTATAAGATTGAAAGCGCTTGTGACTTTTTCATTTTACTCCTTCAGGCTTGTGTCTTCCGCGACACTCGCCGACTATATTGCCTCCGGATGCACACTGATGAAATATAAATGTCTTGGCACTGTAACTATCTGGATAAGTAATCCTAGGAGGAGAGCGACTATTAGATATTAGGCTCTAAACTGACGTTTAGTTGATTGATTTGATGGCAGAAGGGTTGTGGAGATGCCACAGATTTCCTGAGTTGCTTAGCTTATTAGATAGAGAGGTTTTCTAGAACTCCTACTTACCTCACAGGGTCAGACTCTGATTTCATTACACATGATGCATTTGCTGCTATAAAAAGCTATCTATCTATCTGTCTATCTATCTATCTATCTATCTATCTATCTATCTGTCTGTCTGTCTGTCTGTCTGTCTGTCTTCCCATCCGTTTGTCTATCTGTTTATATATTTTTTTGTCTGTTTGTCCATCTTTCTCTCCATCCATCCAATCATCTCTCCATCCATCATTCTCTGTCCATTCATCCATCCATCCATCCATCTTTCTGTCCATCCATTTGTTGATCTGTCCATCCATCTTTATGTCTGTCCATTCATTCATCCATCTTTCTTTCCATCCATTCATTGATCTTGTCCATCTATCTTTCCATCCATCCATCCATCTTTCTGTCTGTCCATCTATCTTTCTGCCCATCCATTCATCCATCCAACCATCTTTCTGTCCATCCATCCTTTTATCTGTCCATCTATCTGTCCATTCCAACCATCCATCCATCTTTCTATACATCCATTCATCCATCTTTCTGTCCATCCATTCGTTGATCTGTCCATCTATCTTTCTGTCCATCCATTCATCCATCCGTCTTTCTGTACATTCATTCATCCATCTTTCTGTCCATCCATTCGTTGATCTGTCCATCTATCTTTCTGTCCATTCCATCCATCCATGCATCTATCTTTCTGTCCATCCATCCATCCCTTAAATGCATGGATTTATCTTTTCATTGCATCATTTGAATTTTTCTCTTTGAATTTTTTTTATCTTATCCTGCAGTACATTATGGAACAAAATCCATCCATCTTTCTGTCCATCCATCCATTGATCTGTCCATCTATCTTTCTGTCCATCCATCCATTTATCTTTCTGTCCATCTATCCATTGATCTGTCCGTCTATCTTTCTGTCCATCCATCCATTAATCTATCCATCTATCTTTCTGTCTATCCATCCATTGTTCTGTCAATTCATCCATCCATCCATCCATCCATCCATCCATCCATCCATCCATCCATCCATCCATCCATCCATCCATCCATCCATCCATCCATCCATCCATCCATCCATCCATCCATCCATCCATCCATCCATCCATCCATCCATCCATCCATCCATCCATCCATCCATCCATCCATCCATCCATCCATCCATCCATCCATCCATCCATCCATCCATCCATCCATCCATTTCTGTACATTCATTCATCCATCTTTCTGTCCATCCATTCGTTGATCTGTCCATCTATCTTTCTGTCCATCCATTCATCCATCCGTCTTTCTGTACATTCATTCATCCATCTTTCTGTCCATCCATCCATCCATCCATGCATCTATCTTTCTGTCCATCCATCCATCCCTTAAATGCATGGATTTATCTTTTCATTGCATCATTTGAATTTTTCTCTTTGAATTTTTTTTATCTTATCCTGCAGTACATTATGGAACAAAATCCATCCATCTTTCTGTCCATCCATCCATTGATCTGTCCATCTATCTTTCTGTCCATCCATCCATTTATCTTTCTGTCCATCTATCCATTGATCTGTCCGTCTATCTTTCTGTCCATCCATCCATTAATCTATCCATCTATCTTTCTGTCTATCCATCCATTGTTCTGTCAATTCATCCATCCATCCATCCATCCATCCATCCATCCATCCATACATCCATCTTTCTGTAAATCCATTCGTTGATCTATCCACCCATCCATCCATTCATCCCTCTTTCTGTCTGTCCATCCATTGATCTGTCCATCTATCTTTCTGTCCATCCATTCAGCCATCCAACCATCTTTCTGTCCGTCCATCCTTTTATCTGTCCATCCATCCATCCCTTAAATGCATGGATGCACGCATCATTTGAATTTTTCTCTTTGAAACATTTTTTTTTATCTTATCCTGCAGTACATAATTGAACAAAATCCATCCATCTTTCTGTCTGTCCATCTGTTGATCTGTCCATCTATCTTTCTGTCCATCCATCCATCCATTTATCTTTCTGTCCGTCCATCCATTGATCTGTCCTTCTATCTTTCTGTCTATCCATCCATCCATCCATCCATCTTTCTGTCCATCCATCCATTTATCTATCCATCTATCTTTCTGTCCATCCATCCATCCATCTTTCTGTCAATCCATCCATCCATCATCCAACCATCCATCCATCCATGTTTGTCTGTTCATTCATCCATCCATCTTTCTGTCCATCTATTCGTTGATCTATCCATCCATTTTTCTCATTGAAACAGTTTTTTCCCTTTTATCCTGCTGTACATAATGGAACAAACCAAGTTACAAAAGAGTTATTCTGTCACAGAATATTACACACATTACAACATTATGGGTAAAAGTGAAAG